AGGAGGTAATACGGCCCTCGACTTCACCATGGGCAGCCCCGGTTGTTCTAGTGAAAAAGAAGGATGGTGGTTTTCGCCTATGTGTCGACTATAGACGATTAAATGAGATTACTCGAAAAGACGCTTTTCCCCTCCCCAGGATCGATGATCTATTTGACGCACTGGGAGGATCAGTTTATTTCAGTACGCTAGATTTGGCTTCTGGCTACTGGCAAGTAGAAGTGGAGGAGAGCGACAGAGCGAAAACGGCGTTTGTAGTACCATCAGGTTTTTATGAGTTCCAGACCATGCCTTTTGGCCTCTCTAACGCCCCTGCGACTTTTCAACGACTGATGCAAAAAGTGTTACACGAATTGATGCCCCACAAGTGTCTCGTTTACCTGGACGATGTCATTGTACACGGAAAAACAAAAGACGAGCACCTAAACAACTTGGCGGAGGTGCTAACACGCCTAGTAAATGTGGGCCTCAAACTCCAGCCCACAAAGTGCCATTTACTACAGACCGAGGTAACGTATCTTGGGCACGTCATTTCGGGGATGGGGATTCGTACTGACCCTCGTAAGACGGAGCAAGTGAGATTATGGCCAACCCCTGCCAACGTTGATGAACTACGCAGTTTTTTAGGGTTAGCCTCATACTATCGGCGATTCGTGAAAGGGTTCTCAGAGATCGCTGCGCCTTTGAATACCTTGTTACAGAAAGGTAAGACCTTCGAATGGACCGTTGAGTGTCGAAATTCATTCGATCGGTTACGAGAATCCCTTTGTGCAGCTCCGGTGTTGGTTTTCCCCGATCTGTCACCAAATGCCGGGGAGTTTATTCTAGACACGGACGCGAGCGACCAGGCGATTGGAGCTGTTTTGTCACAGAAAGGGCAGGACGGAATAGAACGAGTGGTGTCGTACAGCAGTAGAAGTCTCAGTGCAAGAGAACGGAATTACTGCACAACCAGAAAGGAAATGCTAGCCCTAGTATTCTTTATAAAACAAAACCGACACTACCTATTAGGAAGGAAGTTTCTGGTACGAACAGATCATCAGTCACTTCGTTGGTTACAGAATTTCAGAGACCCCGAGGGACAGATCGCCAGATGGCAGGAACAACTTCAGGAGTATGATTTTGAGTGCAGACACCGACCTGGTGCACTGCATGCCAACGCGGACGCTCTTTCCAGACTTCCTACTCGTGCTCATGGAGACTGCCCGTCTTGTAGTACACAACACGTAGCTCTAGTTAACCTTCAAAGTTCGGAGTACGGTCGCTGGCAGGAGGCACAGGCAGCAGATCCAGACGTATCACCGATCTATGACAAACGGCTGTTGGGGAGCGACAAACCTACCGCGAAGGAAATGGAGGGAAAAAGTTACGAAGCTCGATGCTTATGGGCGATGTGGGACAAGCTCTCTATCGAGGAAGGTGTGCTAGTGTTTGATTTTGGCCCAAACTATATCAGGAGAATCGTAGTTCCGCGATCATTAGTTTCCGAAGTGCTATCTAAACTGCACGAACAGCTGGGTCATGCTGGAATCAACAAACTGGAAGCGGCAGCACGTCAACGTTTTTGGTGGCCACACCAACGGAGAGACGTCACTAACTTTTGCCAGACGTGTGAGACATGCGCCACATTCAAGAACCCGACCATCACCAGGAGAGCACCATTGCAGCCTATGAATGCAGGCTACCCGAACGAGATTGTGGGAGTAGATCTTGTTGGTCCCCTACCAGAAACATCACGTGGCCATCGGTACATCTTGGTCATGGTCGACTATTTCACCAAGTGGTGCGAAGCAGTTCCGATCGCCCAAGCCGATACAGTCACCGTAGCAACGGCGATGGTAAATCACTGGGTGTGTCACTGGGGAGCACCGGGGCAGCTACATTCTGATAGGGGCTCATGTTTCGAGAGTTTGCTGGTTCAGGAACTTTGTCGTGTGTTCGGTATAGACAAGACGCGAACGACTGCTTACCACCCGCAAGGCAACGGACAAGTTGAGCGTACAAACCGGTCGCTGAAATCGCTACTGAAGGCCTTTGTGGAGCAAAATGTAAGTGAGTGGGACGCTATGTTACCAAAATGCTTGCTGGCATATCGAAGCACAGTGCACGCTTCGACTGGTCAAACACCATCTTTTATGTGGACCGGAAGAGAAGTCCGATTACCGTCTGACATCCGATTACCCAGTCCGCAACAGCCACATTCATCGGTGACAGAGTATGTTAGCAAACTCCTTGATTCGCTTCATCAAACACATCAAGCAGCACGTATTCACCTTGGGAACGCCCATCGACGACAGAAAGACTATTACGACAAGAAAGTTTTCGGCGCTCCTTTAAAGGCTGGCGACCAAGTTTACTTGCACCAGGTACCAACGGCAGGAGTTCCGGTTAAGCTACACCATGAGTGGACAGGACCGTACATAATACAGCGGGTGATATCGGATGTGACATGTGTTATCAAAGATCCCAACAACCCTGCCAGTCAACCCATGACAGTACATTTCAATCGACTCAAGCCATTCCGGAGAAAAACTGACCAATCTGTCGAGGGGCCGAACGAAACGCCTGGGGAAGTAGCAGTTGAACTGGAGGTGCCGGCTCAGGGCGGCTATGGGGTGGCAACGGGGACGCTGCCTGCTTAGAGGGGGTGTGGTGTAGAGAAGAATCGATATTGTTTTGGCGCGCGTTCAAAGTTGAATCGTTGCTATAACGGCACTCTCTCCCGTTTGCCTTTCAGAGCGCCTTTCCTGCTCCATTACCGGAGGAGAACAAGAATACGACATTGGTTAACTGTAACTTCCCTTGTTCCAATTTACCTCATGTTTATTACCTTTTGTAGAGGCTACGTGTTGTGTAATAGAACTTCGTTCTCAGCCCTTGGAGTTCTTCCGTGCTTGCGTGTTACAAAGTGGCGACCCTGCCAAGTCACAAGAATCAGGAATCCATCATTAGTCTAATGAAGATCATGCCAAGAATGAACAACAAGTCTGATGACGAAGGCCATTCTGATGTCGTTGACCCCACTACCAGACTTTCCGCTTCACTGGATGTTTTGTCCCGTGCTTTGGAAAAGTTGTCAACAGGCTCGAGTTCGCCAGTCTGTATGCATGCAATCCCACCTCCGGAGCGTTACACTCCCGGGATGCCGTACTCCAGATGGGAGAAACAAGTCCAGCTTTACCTCCGGCAGTTCCCAGTCCACCAACATTCAGGCGTGCTCGCCGGTTTACTGTCAGGGGATGCTTTTGATGTCGTTGCTGATAGTAACATTCTGGAAACAGAAGTCACGTCTGAGACGTTCACTGCCTTGCGCCACCTACTGGACCCTCCTGCATTGCCTGCACCCATACGCAGGGAATTCCACTCACGGTACCAGTGGCCCGGAGAGAGCATTAGGACTTACGTGCGCGAACTCCGAAAGATGGCCGACACCGCATACGAGAGCGAGTCATCAAGCGACCGTGATAAACGAATACTAGAGCAACTCCTAGAAGGAATCCAAACACCATCCATTAAACGTGAATTTCTTCTTCACCCCCCGCAGGAGTTGGATGCAGCCGTACGAATTGGCGAACAACTTGAGCAGGTCGACAAAGCGATGACCACGCCGACTTCCGGGTGTTTCGCTTTGAGGGGAAATGGACGCCCCAGACGTGCGCCAACGGAACGGTTAACGTGGCATCCTCACTATCAGCAAAGATATTCAGGCTCATGGCGACCAACGCAACAGGGTTCCCGGTGGCCCCGCCGACCAATTCCGAATCGTGGTCTACCTCGCTACAATAACGGACGCCCAGGTGAGTGGCACCGATCGCATTCACACTTTATACCAGCCATTGTTTGTGCGTCGACCACAGATTCAGCATTAGCAATAGAATTACAGATCGCAGGGGTTCCATTGATAGGTCTCATCGACACAGGTGCATGTAAGAGCCTAATCAGATCTAGTTTGACTAACCAGCTAGCAGAACGTGTATACGCACCTTGTCGCTGCCGACTAACTGCCGCCAATGGAGAATTGTTGTCCGTTCGAGGATCCCTAACCGCACAAGTTGACGTCGCGAAACAGAGCTTCACCCAGGAGTTTATTGTTGCGGACAAAATTCCGTTTGCTGTTATTGTTGGGATGGATCTGTTACGCCGGTTGAAGTGTCGATTGGATCTGGACAGGCGCCAACTAATCACCGATAACTGTACAGTTTTGTTAAAACCCTGTGGAAGTGGTGCTTTGGAAGCATCTACAACCTATGAGGACACCTTAGAGAGTGAGAAGTACATTAACGCCTTTATTCGCTCACTCGACAGAGTCACGGATGAGCAGACACTGAAGCGGCTCAAAGACGTGTTGCGCAACCACTCAGACGCATTTGCATGGCGCAGTACCGACTTGGGTCGAACCAATCTCGTGAAACACCGTATCGACACCGGTGATGCAATCCCGATTAAAATCCCCCCAAGACGCATACCATTACATTGGCAGACTGAATTGCAAAAGCTCATAGATGACATGATAGAAAAGGAGGTAATACGGCCCTCGACTTCACCATGGGCAGCCCCGGTTGTTCTAGTGAAAAAGAAGGATGGTGGTTTTCGCCTATGTGTCGACTATAGACGATTAAATGAGATTACTCGAAAAGACGCTTTTCCCCTCCCCAGGATCGATGATCTATTTGACGCACTGGGAGGATCAGTTTATTTCAGTACGCTAGATTTGGCTTCTGGCTACTGGCAAGTAGAAGTGGAGGAGAGCGACAGAGCGAAAACGGCGTTTGTAGTACCATCAGGTTTTTATGAGTTCCAGACCATGCCTTTTGGCCTCTCTAACGCCCCTGCGACTTTTCAACGACTGATGCAAAAAGTGTTACACGAATTGATGCCCCACAAGTGTCTTGTTTACCTGGACGATGTCATTGTACACGGAAAAACAAAAGACGAGCACCTAAACAACTTGGCGGAGGTGCTAACACGCCTAGTAAATGTGGGCCTCAAACTCCAGCCCACAAAGTGCCATTTACTACAGACCGAGGTAACGTATCTTGGGCACGTCATTTCGGGGATGGGGATTCGTACTGACCCTCGTAAGACGGAGCAAGTGAGATTATGGCCAACCCCTGCCAACGTTGATGAACTACGCAGTTTTTTAGGGTTAGCCTCATACTATCGGCGATTCGTGAAAGGGTTCTCAGAGATCGCTGCGCCTTTGAATACCTTGTTACAGAAAGGTAAGACCTTCGAATGGACCGTTGAGTGTCGAAATTCATTCGATCGGTTACGAGAATCCCTTTGTGCAGCTCCGGTGTTGGTTTTCCCCGATCTGTCACCAAATGCCGGGGAGTTTATTCTAGACACGGACGCGAGCGACCAGGCGATTGGAGCTGTTTTGTCACAGAAAGGGCAGGACGGAATAGAGCGAGTGGTGTCGTACAGCAGTAGAAGTCTCAGTGCAAGAGAACGGAATTACTGCACAACCAGAAAGGAAATGCTAGCCCTAGTATTCTTTATAAAACAAAACCGACACTACCTATTAGGAAGGAAGTTTCTGGTACGAACAGATCATCAGTCACTTCGTTGGTTACAGAATTTCAGAGACCCCGAGGGACAGATCGCCAGATGGCAGGAACAACTTCAGGAGTATGATTTTGAGTGCAGACACCGACCTGGTGCACAGCATGCCAACGCGGACGCTCTTTCCAGACTTCCTACTCGTGCTCATGGAGACTGCCCGTCTTGTAGTACACAACACGTAGCTCTAGTTAACCTTCAAAGTTCGGAGTACGGTCGCTGGCAGGAGGCACAGGCAGCAGATCCAGACGTATCACCGATCTATGACAAACGGCTGTTGGGGAGCGACAAACCTACCGCGAAGGAAATGGAGGGAAAAAGTTACGAAGCTCGATGCTTATGGGCGATGTGGGACAAGCTCTCTATCGAGGAAGGTGTGCTAGTGTTTGATTTTGGCCCAAACTATATCAGGAGAATCGTAGTTCCGCGATCATTAGTTTCAGAAGTGCTATCTAAACTGCACGAACAGCTGGGTCATGCTGGAATCAACAAACTGGAAGCGGCAGCACGTCAACGTTTTTGGTGGCCACACCAACGGAGAGACGTCACTAACTTTTGCCAGACGTGTGAGACATGCGCCACATTCAAGAATCCGACCATCACCAGGAGAGCACCATTGCAGCCTATGAATGCAGGCTACCCGAACGAGATTGTGGGAGTAGATCTTGTTGGTCCCCTACCAGAAACATCACGTGGCCATCGGTACATCTTGGTCATGGTCGACTATTTCACCAAGTGGTGCGAAGCAGTTCCGATCGCCCAAGCCGATACAGTCACCGTAGCAACGGCGATGGTAAATCACTGGGTGTGTCACTGGGGAGCACCGGGGCAGCTACATTCTGATAGGGGCTCATGTTTCGAGAGTTTGCTGGTTCAGGAACTTTGTCGTGTGTTCGGTATAGACAAGACGCGAACGACTGCTTACCACCCGCAAGGCAACGGACAAGTTGAGCGTACAAACCGGTCGCTGAAATCGCTACTGAAGGCCTTTGTGGAGCAAAATGTAAGTGAGTGGGACGCTATGTTACCAAAATGCTTGCTGGCATATCGAAGCACAGTGCACGCTTCGACTGGTCAAACACCATCTTTTATGTGGACCGGGAGAGAAGTCCGATTACCGTCTGACATCCGATTACCCAGTCCGCAACAGCCACATTCATCGGTGACAGAGTATGTTAGCAAACTCCTTGATTCGCTTCATCAAACACATCAAGCAGCACGTATTCACCTTGGGAACGCCCATCGACGACAGAAAGACTATTACGACAAGAAAGTTTTCGGCGCTCCTTTAAAGGCTGGCGACCAAGTTTACTTGCACCAGGTACCAAAGGCAGGAGTTCCGGTTAAGCTACACCATGAGTGGACAGGACCGTACATAATACAGCGGGTGATATCGGATGTGACATGTGTTATCAAAGATCCCAACAACCCTGCCAGTCAACCCATGACAGTACATTTCAATCGACTCAAGCCATTCCGGAGAAAAACTGACCAATCTGTCGAGGGGCCGAACGAAACGCCTGGGGAAGTAGCAGTTGAACTGGAGGTGCCGGCTCAGGGCGGCTATGGGGTGGCAACGGGGACGCTGCCTGCTTAGAGGGGGTGTGGTGTAGAGAAGAATCGATATTGTTTTGGCGCGCGTTCAAAGTTGAATCGTTGCTATAACGGCACTCTCTCCCGTTTGCCTTTCAGAGCGCCTTTCCTGCTCCATTACCGGAGGAGAACAAGAACACGACATTGGTTAACTGTAACTTCCCTTGTTCCAATTTACCTCATGTTTATTACCTTTTGTAGAGGCTACGTGTTGTGTAATAGAACTTCGTTCTAAGCCCTTGGAGTTCTTCCGTGCTTGCGTACTACATTAGTATTCCAGCTTAGCCCTGATACAGCAATACTGGAAATTAGAAAGGATAATCCGATTTTTTTCTCAGTCACTTGCATCCACAGTTCTTTCAGATCCCTCCTTAGAAAAATATTGTTCATCCATAGATCTTGCAAGATAATCTTTAACGCTAGCAAACCGCAACCAGCGGGCACTTACGCACATAATTTCTACTGCTTGAGTGAACCATCCCCGATCACTTAATAGAATCCCATGCTTTGTATTTATCTGTTATTGGTAGCTGAGCTAACAGTACGCATATTTAGGAGGGTTTACGTCCGTTGGATGAAACTTGATAACGTTAAAGACCATCTTGAGTGCTCTATGAAGAAACATGATTTCATTAAAGAGGAATTTGAAAGCGCTATGGATGCCATTGACTGAGAACAGGTAGAGGCGATCGAATGCATTCGACAGTTTCAGGTAACTCTTGTCGATGTTCTCTCCAGCGACAGTGATTCGCTCCCACGGCACTGTGTTAGTACTAAAGTATTTTCATATCCGCTGTCGATGTAAGTCGCGTTGCTCGGGAGCAATGATGCAACAGTTCTCCAGAAAGCACACTAATTCGTGGGGCAGTGATGGATTCGAGGACTTTAAACAGTACAGAGTGGAGAAATGCTGGACGGTAGTTTGATGACATACTTTTACTTGCACCTTCGCGAATCGGAGTTATTATTCCCAGCTATACATAACAAGAACCTGCTTCTGTTCTAGACAGCGCTAAAATGCTTAAACCAAAGGTTCAGGCAGTTGTCTTGCTGCTACTCGCAGTGCTTCTTACCGA